TCTCTCTCTCTCTCTCTCTCTCTCTCTCTCTCTCTCTCTCTCTCTCTTGGCCACACATGCCTCTGTGGCAGCCAAGTCCCAGTAACCTGGAGCATTAGTGTGTTTTCAAAGAATGGCTAAACTAACCATCGACTAGAGAACATCATTTAGCCGATTAATGTTTTTCATCCCAACATACCTGCCTTTGAACTGGAGTTTGTGTGATATTCAAGACTTTAGGTGGAGCCTCACTGTTCTGTGAGGGGTTTTGTGTGTGTGAAGACTCTGCTCTCTGAGCTCTGTGGTGAATTACAGTTGACCCATGGAGACCCCGGCCCCGCTGCTCCTACCTTTGGAACCCCCGTCATCTGGATCACATCGGGCTCAAATGGGGGGCAGAGCAGAGCCCCCTCTGTCTGACACAAGCAAAGGAGGAGGATGACGATGGAATGAGGGTCCACTAAAGTGTGTGTGAATGTTTCAGTGTGTGACATATACCATGGTCTTTCTCTCTGTCTGTGTCACATACACATAAACCTGTATGCCAGTTAGCTGGAAACCAGCCAGAATGATCAGAATTATGTGTTATTAATAGATAAATAAAAATGCAAGTGACATTGGTCATGGCTGTCAGTATTGGTGGATCGCAGGTCATTGAACACTGTTGCAGTGAGTAACCCTGAAAATATAGAGAGGGGTGACCTTTGACCATCGTATCTCAACCAATAAGGGGTTGAGCAAAAGTAAATTAGCAACATTTTGATTTGCACCTCTCACTAGGACAAACTAGGACTTCCACAGCATGCAATGGAAAAGTAGTGTGATGACAGCTGCATTAAAAACATGTTTCATTCAACGCATCATAAGAAATCTCACACACATATAAGAGTAAACAATACATCCCTTCATTCCAGAGAACAAATCTATAAAACTGTGTCTGTTCTGCGGTGTTGTGTTTTCTTTTTCAGGGTGAAAAAGTGTTTATGATTAATTCATTGCTTTAAAGTGGAGACACTTTACTGTGCATATTTTAAGAGACACTTTTACACATGCTGATGTTATTAATTTCACCGCTGGCCTTGCCAACCAAGAGTGTCTCAGCTTTATGTTCAATGACACCGACGTAATTCTTAAAAAAAAAAAAAAGACAAATATGGGGTTTAAAGTGAATCTGAGACGCAAACAACCACAAAACAGCAAATGTAAAAAGTGTAACGTTCAAATCAAATAATATGTCCATTAGTTGCAAATATATGGAATAACTGCACCAAAAAAATGTCAAATCTTCTGACCTGATGAGTTGCTGCCCCCTGCTGTAACACTTTATGCAGTAAATCTTGAAATCTTTCCATCGATGTGTGGCAACATGTATCAGGACAGTATTGATACTGAAGAGATTTTAACATATTATTCAGATGTGACACATGGTGATGTAATTGCATCACCTATAATGATGAATAAGTATTAAATAAATGTAAAAAATTCAAACTCTTACAACTTTTGAGTAAAAAAACAACCTGAAAACATTACATGTTGTTGATGAATTGCACAGATTATTTTATTTTTTTTATTATAAACGTATTCTGCAGGACTCTGCCTGCGATGACCATTCTGTGACAGCAATCATTCTTCAGTGTAATTCAAGCAATCAAGAGAGTAAATATGTTATTTAGGATAATGGCACTCCTGGAGTTGGGACTTCACATTTCTATAGAAATAGAAACCTTCTCATTTTCTAGCTGGGTTTAGAAAACATGCTCCTGGACACGACTCTAATGTTCCTATTGTTGTTGTGGACAATTGTAATGCTTGCATGCATGGGATGCTTTGTATTAGACTCTGTAAGTTGCAATTTGTCTTGTAAATAGCAGAGAAAAGAGACGATACAATAAGACCATGTTTTATATATATAAATGTGAAAATTGTTTATTACAAAAGCATGTAAAAGGACAACTGATAAATTAGCAATATAGTACAAAACGAGTTGTGTACATTGAAGTTATTTGTATTTACATCCATGCTACTTCACAAAGTGTATTGTTTGAAAGGTTTAAGGAGTATATCCTGGTGCTCAGTTGTACTACCAGAGTAGTCAGTACCTGTGGATGCATTTGGCTAAAACTGCTCTATAAATATAATCTGCATTTATATGTTAAATACATTGTTTGAGAGAATAAACACACACACACACACACACACACACACACTGTTGTGCTCTTTCTTTCACACACATAGACAGACAGGCACATCAATACGTCATTCTTAAAAAACTAAATTCTGTTAGTACATTCAATAAGTGATGCAACTCCTCAAAACAGGGTGCTTCACAAATTCTGCCACTCAGCACAAAGTTAGTGATTTTAGTTAGTTTTTGTTAGATTATTAGTTTATTAGTGGGTTAGTTTGTTAGTTTGCAGAGAGCTAATAAAATGTATTTTTGGTTAGTACCTGATAATTTGACTTTAGGAGATGTTAGTAGCTTGTTTATAAGGATTTCTGATGAGCATGTCATTGACACAGTTAGAGCTAGGACTTAGTTCCCACTGCTAAAACGCATACAAACTCATGGCACTAGAAGATGTTTTGGATAAAAGCTTCCATGTACTGTAATTTAATAAGCATCACTAGTGCCACAAGGCATGCTTTGATTTAATTAAAGAAGAACAAAGAGACGGAATAATTTCATTACAGACATCGGGATGTTTTAGTCAGAAGGAACCCAGATGTTAGTAAGAGCAACAGGTGGGTCTTTAGAGCCTCACCACTGTTAGTATTAATACCATAATAAGTTAGTATTGGAGTTGAGATTTGCTTGGCCTGTGGTGACAACAAGCCAGGCACTCATCTGCAAGGGTTGACCACACAGGTAGAGAAGACGGTCTCTGAAGATGTGAATTTAGCCTGTGAGGTGCGACACTGTGACGTGATATTATTTTTTTGATCAGATCACAATCGGTTTCGTGAGTATTCTTAAGTATGTGGTCAACCCAGTTTGATATCAGCAGCTGATTCTCCTCCTCTTTCCATCTACTGGTTAATAATATTTCCCTTCCCAAGTCCTGAAACCCTTCCTGACTTGCTCACTTTAACAGTTTTCATTGATTTTCTGCTTTACTAATTCCTCTTAGTCTGTGAGTTCTAGAAGAAGGATTGCAGGATCATGAGAGAGGAGTGTGTGCATCGGACTGCGGGCATAAAGCAGAGGGTTAGTCAGTGGGTTAGAAAGATCAAAGCCAGCCATCAGCATTCATCAGAGTACAGGTTAGTAATCATCCGACTGTTAGCAGACATTAGTATTGTTAGATATTAGTCAAATATTGTTAGTAGAATCCAGACCTGGGTAAAAAGCTATTTGCACATAATTATTAGCATTTGCTGTAATTTGCTGAAGTATCAGATGATGGGGCAGTAGGCATCGGGACAGTTTAATTAATGCTAGCAGGCATCATTCAGAAAACTACAGACCATTCATTTCCAGCATCATTCTTGTGATTATCTAGATCACAAGAACCCCCACCTAACTGGTACTTCAATGAGGTCTGAACAAATGCTAAGAATCATTTGTAAATATTTTTGAATCCTTTGTCTGGTACATTCAATGTGTTAAAAGAAGAGAGATTCAGGCATTTTAAATCTGTGCAGCGAAGAGAAATCCATTGAAAAGCAGCTAGTAGCTTCAGGCCAATTACAAAAGTGTTTTATCATACAGACACATGCACACATACAGGAACAAACACACACACACACACACACATAGAGCACATGCACACAAACACATGCACTCACGCTGACACACACCTGCCCACACGCTAGAGTAAAAATACACACTGTAGAACCATAAAAGTAGTTGGTATAACACCCAAATTAAGAAGTTTTAAGACAAACAAAGAACATACTGTGTGAATTACACATTGTCAAAATGTGAGAAAACTAGTCATTCTCACTCACTTGAGCAGATTTTTGTTTTTTTTTATGTTACAAGCTTAAAATAACAAAGCTTTCCAGTTCTGGATCTGGCACTGAAACATTTTAGCTTTGGTGAGAAGTTAACACATGTTAAAACACAGTTTCTGGAGAATTTAAAGTAAATTAAAAGTACGTGTTTGACAGAGTATCCCAGGTAATGGATTGAAGACGTCAATGCACACGCAGCTGAGGAAAACAAGCGTGAGAGGTGTTTGATGGCTGCGGTGTCTGTGTTTTTGATCAGCCAAAAAACTCATGATCGTGGGCGTGGATGAAGCATTATTAGTATTACTGACAGCCGGAAACATTTGCACATTTGAAACAGGAAGGAACGCTGCAGAAAATTATTTTGGACTCAAAACACCAGCCGTTAAATGTTGTCCTGTTAAATCTGAACACATTGACACTGTCTACAAAGCAGCAGTAGCATTTTGAACTCTTCAAAGCCCCACTAAAGCAGAAGTCGTCTCTCAGTGGGAAAACACTTGGACATGGATCCTCTCCTTCTGAGGGTCTGGACATCAGCGATGGCACCGTGCATCGATCACTGCTTGAAAAATGACACGACAGCTGTTAAAGGCAAAAAATACAAAAGCGATCTTCTGATCGTTCTGATTCTTAACACCTTGAACACGTTCCTGTTGGTCATGACATTCTTTTGAAGATATTTTCATCCTTGACTAACAAACATTCATCCAATGTATTTCCAGGATAATCCTGCATAATGTTGAATAACGAATATGAAAAGATGATTATGCTAAATCTGATTTGGTCATGGTCTCCACTTTCAGGTTGGTTTATCTCCGCTCTTTACCATAATCCTGGAAATGGATAGCAGTATATAGCTGAGAATATGGCAGCGATTTAACACATAACTAATCTTCCATGTTCTATCTGGTCCCCATTTATCTGCACTCTCGGCAGGCACAGGGGCTTAACACTCTCTCACACACACACACACACACACACACACACACACACACATCCTGTATGTGGGCAAAAAGCAAGATAAGAGTCTATAAAAATTGGATCTGCAGTTTATATTCATCAAGATATAACAAGTCACAGTGCAGACTGTTAAGTGAATATGAGAGGAATGAAAGTCACAGTGGTGTAAATCTATGGTCAGACCATTTACCAGTCTGCGAGGCAGCACAGCAGAGGGAGATGGAGCCATGCCGCTCGTGAGGTCCAGAGCGAGATCCGGTCTGCTCCTTCATCAGTGTAACTGGAGAGGAATACACAACACAAAGCAGCAGAAAAGTGGGACGCAACCCAACTGTCCTCTCAAGAAACCCAAGGGAGTACATGTTCTTTTTTTTTATTGCTTCTCCTTACTGCTTTTTATTAAGATAAATGAGAACTGCCAACAGATATAAGCTACAGTATAAATGATCTGACTGGCTGACTAATGCTACTACATTCTACATCTGATATTGTGTGCCATTAAAAACGATCCTCCTATGTGGGGGTTTTTATAAATATAATGCAGCTTGTACACATAACCTGTCCTGCTGTTGGTTCTCATTTGGACCCTCCCAGTGTCCTGACTGGTGACATGTCAGCAGCTCTGTAGATGAATCCAGTAACACCGGCCACAAGGTTACCTAAAATATAAGAACAGTGGATCACTGTGATTCACTGGGTTTTTGCATTCATTTTGGGGGATTTAATGGCCCACTTTGCCTTATATACACCTAAAAATTATAGAAATACAAACAATCAGAACTTTAGACCATAAGGCTTGATTTAAATGTCTCCGACATTTCTGTTGTCCAAACACAGCAAAACAATACAGTACAGTGGCTGCAGCTCATGCTATACTGTCTATCTGGAGATGAAAGACCACGTAGGCTATAGGCATATATACTGCACTGCCTACCTACGGCCACATTTTGTCCAATATAAATCAGCAATCTAATCTGGCATGCACCAGAAATAGCATTTCTATAAATATGCATATTTGAATAGACATAAAGCCTGCACGGATGTAGGTCGGGGAAAGACAGACCAGGCCCTCCTCTGCAGGGAATTAAACGAGTTCATGTTTATCTAGTTTGACAACAGATTAATCATAATTAACTAGTTTGAGTCCTAGGGCAATACAAAATCATTGCATTTAAAATCACAATAGAATAAAATGAGCTATGTGGTCTTTTTTCCTACCAGTGATCTCCAGGTTCCACCGTGCACGTGACCCGCAGCATCGGGCGACGTGAAAAGATCTTCTTCTTTTTTCTTCTTTGTCTTCCATGCTGAAGGCGCTGCCGAACTTGCAAATGCATGCCTTGTGTGTCCTGTGATCAGCCCCGCAGTAGAAGGCTGGTCGCCCCCTGGACCCACGCGCTATACGCACTTACACGAGCCGCGGCTGAGCGTCGTCTACATGGCTGCCGAGCCGAGACAAGCAGATGTGGGAGTGCCAACAACAGCTGCGCACTGACGGGAGACCAGTCCAGGGAAAACAGGATAAAGTGGAGACGGAAGCCCCGGGACAAAGAAAATGGATGGGAGGTATTAAAGAGAACAGAGACGTCTTTGAATAAGAGGGACTGCACAGACCTGAATTAATCAGTGGTCTCGGTCTCCAGCTGCTGCCACAGGTTTATGGTCTTTTGTATGCACGCCCTTCATCCACCATCTGTGTTTCCTGGGCAACCGAGGACTGCCTGCAGACACAACTAGCTAGTAGAGCAACCCCAAACCAAAAGACACGATGATATCCTGCTTCATGTAACTTAAAGATACACACACTGTAACATAAATAAGGGTTTATACACATGTAATAGATCATTAGCAACTGATTTCTCCACATGCGCAACACACTCAGTTATTCTTTTTTTTCTGCTTCTCATTTAGACATTTAGCACAAAAATACACAATAATACTGTCCATATTCAGCTGTGCTGATGATTATTTTCAAATTGCATTAATGTCAGTGATAACAGCTAATATGAAAGTGTAACTAATAGGTTGAAATAATCAATTTTGAAAGTGTCATGCCTGCTTGTTCATATTGTATGATACGCTTAATTAGCATATCATTGTTTGATAGTGGTTTCATGTCTGTTTTATAATGAAGGACTTTTGAAAAGTTGTTTTTGACCGTGTCTTGTATAAATAAGTGAAATATATAAACTAATGATAATGAATCTATCTCTGGTAATAGAAAAAAAACGCTTATCCTGTTGAGATTTTAAAAAAACATTGAAGATGCATCACACATTACGCATTATATGTGGCTGTTTTGCTCATGTGATAACTAATTTGTTTGAGAGGTGAAATAAATTCAGAGATTTGTATGGTGCATTTTCGGACCTGAGGGTGGTGCTAGAGGAAGGACCACTATAGTGAGAATTGGGGATATCTGGTGTATGGTATCCCAGAATAAAACAAAATATAATGCATCATCATGTATTGAAAATAAAAATAAAAGTAATGCAGATGATTTCACGGTGATTCCTCACTGAGTGAAGTCAACCCAAGCTTGTGATACATAAGACATACAGAACCATGTACTCTAGGATATATGCCATCCAGATGTGAAGCAGCAATAAACTGTCAAAATGACAAAAAGCAAAACTGACTGAAATCCCTTTTCCAAACCGACCCTGAGAAGAGGATCACTCCTGAGAACACTCTCCAGCACCCTTTCATCACAATGACCCATCTGGTGTGAAATAGACACCAGCTTGTAAGTTACTGTGTTTCCAAGTATGAGCACAGTTGAATAGATGATTGGATGAATGGATAGCGTTGCATTCTGATTGACTGTTTCATTGATTGATTGTCGTGTTTTATCCAGTGTGGACGAGTCCTTTGACAAAATGCTGTTCTGCCCAACGGAAAACTTTGAAGAGGAACTTCCTTCTGACAATGAGGCTGATGAAGGTGAATGGCCTTCAGCCACACCTCGTACAAATGGCACAGGCTCAACTGCTCCTTGCTTCTGTGACGGCATTACAAATATGCCCCGCTCAAACGATGGAGCAGCAGCTGCTTGAGTTATAGATGCTTCTGACTCAGCTGAAGTCGAACCAGCTGTCAGTCATGGTGCAGCCAGCCCAGCTGAGGAGACGCCAGCCACTGACAGGTCACCTGATGCAGGTCCACCTGTAAAAGTCAAGAAGAGCTGACTGAAGGGCAATATTGTATTATATTATGATAGTATTAGTATATATTGTTTAGAAAGAAAACATGTTGAATGTGTGAATATCTTTGCTTTGCAGGGTAAATCATCACAATACAACTGTACATTTATGAGCTGATGACGACAACATTTAATTGTTTGAATAATTCAATTATAACACAGATGCTGTAACACTTGTTAAAAGATGGAACAGCTATCAATCTTCCAAAATGCAAAACAACAACATAACTGTTCCTGGCTGTACATATCGTTAATTTACAGTTGCTAAATTATTATGACTAACCAACAATCCCAAACCCTAAGATACAGGCCTACATGTTTATGATATAAAACAAAAAAAACAACATTGGAGAATCTGGACACATAGAACATTTCACATTTTACTTGAAAGATGACTTAAATGATTAAGGGATTATTGAAATAGTTTCCGATTCATTTAATGCCAATCAACTAGTTTAATCAACTCATATTCCCCACTGTCTCATTTGTCAACAATATTTACTTAAAATGTATGACATACACAATATTTAGATGTTTTGAAAATTCTACATAAAGCACCTTTAACTTACTGATTACTGATTACTGATTGTTACTTACGGATGTGGTAGTTTGTTTTGGAAGTATAACCTTATACCTTAAAAGATTGTGATTTCAGTACTGGCCTGATTTCTATTAAATTCATGCTCCCTCCAGAGGATTAACCCATTTTGAAATCTAATGGGTTGATAGTAGCATCTACAATTTCCTCTTGTTTTGTTTCCCAAGCACTGATGCTGTTTTATTATTTGCAGCAAGTACATGTTGCTTCCCTACTAATTGTTCCCATTGGGCACTCCTGAGCTCCGGTGTCTTATTATTGTATGAATAGTTTTCATTTTTTATTTATTTTATGGTTTGAATATAAACATTACCAAAGTTTATTTACTAACTAATTCAAATCAAATTTGCAAAAGTGCTTTACAAACATACATAATACACAATACATAAGGCAAACAAAGAAAAAACCAGGAATAAACTAGAGAACATTATAAGAGAAACAAGTCACACTTTATAAAATACGATTATCTTTTAGTTTTGTGTGTCTTTGTCTTTGTTTTATGCTAATCAGAAATAAACCGTCTGCGTTATCTACCTCGTGAGGACCCCAACCAGCAGGGGCCGACAGCGTGTGCACTCACACAAATTTGTCCATCTGGAGTTGCCTTACAATTGTGCATCGCTTTTGTGAACTCACAACACTCTGGAACGACATCTTATAAACAGTCTACGCATCTACGTAGCAGCGGGGTATTTCACGTCGTGTATGCATCAGTCGGGTCTTGCGGGTCTGTCAGGCCTGTGCCGAGTCACCGACCATCTCTACCTCAGTAATGGCAAAGCGGCGAAAGATTCCTCCCAGGTGACGCAGTGCAAGATAAGCTGCATCGTGAACGTTACCGAGTCCAGGAGCCGCTGCCCTCTTCACCCCGGGGTGGAGTACGTTCACATCCCGGTCTCTGACCACCCGGTGTCTCCTCTCAGCGAGCATTTTGACGAGGTGGCGGATAAAATACAGCTCACCGCAGAGCGCGGTGGCCGCACATTGGTGCACTGCAACGCCGGCGTGAGCCGCTCCTCCTCCCTGTGCATGGCCTACCTGATGAAGCACCGCGATGTGCCTCTCCTGGAGGCCCACAGGTGGGTGAGGACCTGTCGACCCGTCGTGAGGCCGAATAACGGCTTCTGGAAACAGCTCATCCGCTATGAGATGGAGCTTCGTGGGTGCACTTCTGTCCGAATGGTCTCCTCCTCCATGGGAGAGCTACCTGACATTTATCAACAGGAGGCCACAAATATGATGCCACTGTGAAGAAACCACTGCACTGCTTAGTGGGGATTTTATTAACAATCAAACAATGTATGAGCATAAATATACTGTATTGTGTGTGGCATGTAGAGTGATAAACTGCTGTTTTGTCATCTAAACAAACATAAAGGCTTAATGTACTCCCTGACGAGTTATTACGGGCTCCACTACATTTCAAGGGGAAATATTGTGCTCTTTACTTAAATACATTTATCTGACAACTAGTTACCAGTTTAGCCTACATTAAAAACATAATAAAAGACCTGCATCCCCCAAGCTGAAAAAAGTGTCTAGTGGGGGCCCCTTGTCACATTTCTGTATGTTGTTAGCAGTTGTAGCAAAGAGTAATTCACAATAGATTTCTCAGGTGTTGTCAGAGAGGTAAAACTATCCAATACTTCACTAAAAGCCCAAAAAACGTTTTGTTTTCTTTACCTCATTAATCATCTTTCGAGTGGTCCTGACCCCTAGGTTAGGTCCCACTGGACTAAACTACCCAACTGCATCTAAAGTAGTTAAACTAGCTCCACCGTGACCATCTACAACATTAAAATGATCCTTCGGAGTTGTTGCATCGGTATAACCTATTGTATCTCCTATAATATATATTAATTCCATATTTAATGATCAACCATGGTTGTCATTTTTCTGTGCTTTAATTATTAATAGTTTTACTGATGATACTTTGCAAGGTTTTGAATTGTACGTTGTTGTGACTGAAGGCCCTGGATCACTAAAGCAGCAATGGCAGTGAAGGCTGTAAAGCAATCCAACTCATTTAAAGCTAGAAAGTACAAAAAGCTTTATTTTAGAATCAATACTCATCTCAATTCATCAGACACGTGTACAATGAAAGTCTTGAAGGACAGCGGGTTGTTTTATGGACAGCTATTCCTAACAAACTTAAATACATACTTAGTTATTTAGCTATATATTCATTAAACACCTTGAAAACATGCTAATTTCATGCTAACTGCCAGACTGTATGAGAGAATGATGCTTTCTAGCTAATTGTGGTGCTTATTTCACTCATAAAAAGAGCAAATGAATGAACAGATGCAGTGTTTTCTTTGCAGATTTAACAATAAAATATATTTGGGGAAATAATATGGGCTTTGATTCTTACAAGAAACAGTTGGGATACATTTATTTTCCTTTTAACAGAAAGGGTTGTTGTGACCTCAGGCCAGTTACAAATGTGAATTGTTAGAATGTTAATTTAGTAAACGGGCACAAAACAAGAATCAGACATTGAATCCCAGTAAAATTCACAATTTGGCACAAGTCTGTCAACGCTGAACACAAACATCTAATCTGAAGGAAATATTCAATCTAATGTATGAGTGGTCAACCAGTAATTCCCTCCAAACCTTCTAAGCAATGCAGCTCTTGGCCAACTACCTCTTACAGAACCGGTTTTAGGTTAACATTTCAGACTCGAGTTTAGATGCAAAGCAACAAGTGGACCAAGTAGATGTTTATCCAAAAGAAGAAGCCACACAGCCATACAGTAACCAGTCAGTTGTATCTTAACATTTTGGGAAATATACTAATTTCCCGGCAGCTATAATAACCGGCAGCTGGCTGTAGCCTTAAAGTGCTAAATACGAGATTGGGAGCATTTCTATTGCTCAACGGCTGTCAGTATGGCAACTGAGGGTCGTCATGCTTCAGCAACAAAGACACCGGTCTGAACGGCGTTATGAGCTGCATCAGCCTGAAGAGGGCAGTGCAGAGCAGCGGTCGTGAGCTAACCAGTTGGGTCTGCTGACATGAAACAAATTGTAGTTAGCTAATATGTTAATGCTCTGACTCCCTTACATTGCACCTTTAATGTTATATTTACTGGATATATTTGAGTGGTATTGATCTTCTCATCTCATTTTCAGCAAGAAAGACAATTGGCGCATTTCCTAAAACAGTTTCTTTAAGCACATATTTCATATGTTTACATCTCAGCCTTTAGGCAGTTAAAAGTGGGTGAGCACTGCGCCAGCATCTCGTTTGGAAAATACAAGTCACTACATTCATCTGGCCAATACCACATGGTCGTGAGCACGAGCAGAAATCCCATTGTGATACTTTAGTACATCGAAATTTCGGATACAATTCATCAAATAGACATTTAAAACAAACTCAAACAAAGTGTACACAGTATTTTACACAGAATCAGATGGCTTATTTAGTGGACAGTGCAATCACTAGTATTCTGGAATCCAAACAGCTATCATTTTCATCTGCTACTTAAATATCCTGAGTCCAGACCTTAGTCAGGTCAAATTACAAGATTGCCTTACAAGTGGAATAACGACACAAGTGCAAAAAACAGCATGCTTATTTTACCTTCACTGCATTTCCTCAATAAGGCAACAGTGTCATCTGCATAGTCGTACGATAAGCATCTAAAAGGTATAAAATAGAGGAATATCCATTTAACACAAAAAGGTGAAATCAATGCAGAGGAGACGAGGAAGCTATGTAACGCCGGTATCCATTCACTCTCTTCTCACACAACCCCAGTGTGTTCAGCTGGAGGACGACTGGAGATTACATCTGAAAGAAAATAGAGATATTTCAAAACTCAAAATATTTAATGTTACTGTATTATGATTCCAAAGGGGGGTGGGGTGTATTTCTTTACATCAATAACTTACATTCTGTTCCAGCTTCTGGTATTCTGTGGATTTAGGGCGACGTGTGGATCTGGATTTCTTTCCCTCCAAAAAAAAGGCAATTATCTGGGGAAAAGAGAAAAGGATATTGTATGAGGCCTGATCTACAAAACAAATATGGATATGATTTAATGAGAGACATTGCAGAGGATTAATCTCTCTCGGTAACTAAATAAATCTGCACTTTCCTAAAATGTCACACTATTCCTTTAGGATTGTTTCCCGCAGTTGCCATGTGCTTGTTTGGGCCCAATAATAAACCGGCAACTCAGAAGCTGACAAAATGTACCAAATAATATCATAATCTTCAGTGCATGACGTATTTCTGCACCGTTAGTCCGATCCAAATGTTGTGTTAACTACACCAGCAAAGATTTACAATCAGTTATATTGTCTTCAACAGTTCTAGCTCAGCAATTACTTGCTCGTCTTAATTTTTTCCAACAAGGAATCACAGACCAAAATGGTTGACACGCACATGACATTTTCAAACAAATCTGGGTCAGTGGAAACAGGAAGTATGAAGAAGAGGAAAGAGGTGTGAAGCCATTTACCTTGCGCTTGTTGTGGTAAGTGATGTAAAGCACCGCTACCAGCACAGCGGAAGAGACAAGGTAGGCGAAGAAATGGCTGCTTTCTTCCTCCTCATTTATACCAGCTGGGTCATACGGACCTTTATTTGAGGTTTCTCTATTTTTGCCGTCCTCTACTTCTGGTTTTTTCTCAGCGTTGTCCTCTACTTCTGTTTTTTTCTCAGCGTTGTCCTCTACTTCTGKTTTTTTCTCAGCGTTGTCCTCTACTTCTGGCTTTTTCTCAGCGTTGTCCTCTACTTCTGGCTTTTTCTCAGCGTTGTCCTCTACTTCTGGCTTTTTCTCAGCGCTGTCCTCTACTTCTGGTTTTTTCTCAGCGCTGTCCTCTACTTCTGGTTTTTTCTCAGCGCTGTCCTCTACTTCTGGTTTTTCCTCATTGCTGCCCTCTAAAGGTATTTTGTCTTTCTTGCCTTTGTCTCCTTCTGGCTCACCTCCCTCTTTGTCCTTAGCCTCTGGCTCCTTGCCTTTCTCTCCCGACTCTGCAGGTGTTGATACATTCTTAACTGGAGGAGTCAGTTTTCTTGCAGGCTCATTGTTTTTCTCCTCGTCAGTTTGATTTTCCTGCCCTTCACTAGTCACAGCTGGCCCTTTGTTACCTTTTGCATCCACACCTGCGAGTGTTTGCTTATGGTTTTCCATTTCCTGTTTGTTTGGTTTGGTCTCACCTGATACTGCATCACTTGGCTTTCCTGTAGTCTTTCGATTAGGTTCTTCTGCTTTTACCGTCTTTGCTGCGTTGTCTGCAGTACCTGCACTGAATGCTGCTGATGAATTGCCGGTGCTAGCCGACTGCTTTGTTTTGCTTTTCTGCTCCTGAGGGGTTTTTGTTGGAGCCCCTGTAAGTAAGAAGAAAATGAAATAAAAATAGAGTTTTTACCAAATGGTAAATGGACTTGTGCTTCTATAGCAGCCCCCGGGTCTTCTGCGTGTCACTTGGTCTTTTTTATTCAATATTTGAACATTTGTTAGTGAGAGGACAATAACAACTAAGGTGGTTCCTGCACTATTAGCTAATGTAGTGACGACGTCTTGTCCAGAGGCTTTCTAAAGGGCGTCATATATATTCCTATCTAAACATTGTGCACTCAAATTGTCAAACATAGAAGTAGAATTTCATGATAAAAGTACTTCCATATGTTTGTAATTAAGCTGCTACAGTCTGTTGTGTGCGCTGCACTTGTTGTGTGCGGAATGAGGGCGTCACACTTTAGGGATATGACGTTTACACAAAAGCCAGAACATGTTTTCGTCTTTTGTGTAACGTGATATTTGATTTTTCGTAAATAGTTTGGTGACAGAAACTAAAAAAAAAAACACACAAAATACACGAAAGCAAATCCTACTTTCGTCACGGTTTAAACAGCAGTGACATGTCACTTCGAATGTATGTTTATTTATTGAACTACTACAATGTAAAATGCACTGATGTTATTTTCAGTAAAGCCAACACTGAAGATAAGACAAAGCCCTGCGATTAGCTCAAATTATCTACGTTAAATCAAGTGACACGTTGTTATACAGCAACAACTACCTCAGTTGTCTGATTTAGTCGGGATTATATGCGAGGCAAACATTTCTCTGACACGTCGCTGAATAGTCTCAGGATGACATAAATAGCAAAATGACACAAAACTCCACTCACCTCTGACCAAGCAGAAACACAACAATATGGCGAGCGCCACGAAAGCCGTCTTCATTGTGTCTGCACACCAATTAAAACACAAAACAAATCTATTTAACCTGTCTCTTCTTTGAGCTCACGACACAATCCGCTGTGACAAAGCTAAGACGACAGGTTGGAGGTTTTGGTTTAAGTCCTGTTGTACGTGCTTCCGCGTACAAACGGTGCGAACCAAACCCGCTCTTCTTCTGCGGAGGGAGAAACACAGCGGTGCGCTTTAGCGCCACCAGAAGGCTGAGTGGCGACACTACAGGGCTCTGTGTTTACACGGCAGTGATGCGTGCTGGTTCAGGGCCTCGGAGAGCTAGAACAACAGTAAAAGCAGATAAATGTAGTGTAGACAAATGTGCTCATGCTTACAGGAAAAAGAAACGTCTTCTGCAGTAAAATCTAATTTAGTTTGTTGATTAAATAGATTGTGCATCTGTGCTTTTAACTCATTCTAAATTATTCTTTAACTGATTCCAATTGGAGTTGAAATGTGATATTGACATTACTGCATCTTAAAATGCAAGTTTTATTACACTTAGGAAAGGAAAAGTCCCTAAGAAAAGCTACTGCAACAGATATTTAGTGTCGCAGTTATGAAAAATGTAATTGGGTTGAGAGTTACACTTAAAGTTACACTTTTTACGCCTGTGGCCAGTCGTTGACGTATTTTGAACCAGCTGTACACAAAGCTAGAATACATCACACCTGTCTTTAAAAAACTAGGAAGATTATAGGAAAAGTAGAGGTTCCTCTTCCCCTTTTATAAAACTGCACCTTTCCTTCATACCTGCTGCACATATCTCTGTAAGTACATTTCTCAGAGTGAAACCAAGCATGTTTGATCTGGTTTGAGCCAGCTGACTCAAACTATTTGTGTTTTAATCTTGGCATTAGGATAGGATAGGACTTTCACGGCTGCATTATTTAGTTTGATTTGTCTGGCATGTGTGGAAACAAAGGGAGACTAAATATTTAGGCCAGATTCAGATACAGATAATTCTGTATGTATAGCTGACATCCTCCTATTGTACTTACACCCCATTGTATTCGACTGACCTGGACTTGTAAAGGTAAAGACAGCACTAATGAAAAGTTAAATATTATAATACATACATATATATTGTTATTACAATAATACTAATAATTGTAATTATTATTTTATTTTGTCACTTTTTGTTCTCCTAATGATCCACCACATTTGTGTTATTACTGCCACCCACAAGTTAGGCGCAGACATGATACAGATATACTCCACATGAGGCGATCTTGTCAGTATTTGACCTTATCAGCAGATGGCAGTATTGATATACACTGCAACTGAGAAAGAAACCTGTGACAAAAGCACATCATGACATCAGATTGCTTTATGTGCATGTGTTGTGAGGGTTTAAACATGTGCTAACTGTTAATGATTTACAAATGTATGTATTCGAGAGAGTAAAAACCATTAAAAATAATTGACATAAAGTCACTGAACTTTACAGCTGAGCGCCACAAGTAATATGTGACAATATTATAGGGATTCGATTTGAAGGTTTGCAGTAGTATAAGAGATGAGATAATCATCAAAATGTTAATTGGAGGTGTTTTACATCTCAGCTGGGTGTTGGGGACCTGTGGGTTCTTGTAATGAATATGTCTTAATTGTGGCAGGCTATTTGACATTTATAAAGTCCGATGATCCCCCTCATTCTTGACACCCATTTGCATTTCCATCTTTAAGGTCAAATGGGTATGAATAATACATTAAGGAGGTTCTTAAGCTCACAGCCAGCTATACCTATCTTCACAAAGACACCAGCTGAGTGTTGCTAAGCTCAGTGAATGTTACAGAAACAATCAATTAATATCACTTTGAGAAACCACATGTGAAGCAAACACAGCATCCGGTTATTAATGGGAATATAAGGTCATGAGTCAATGGAAGATATACGATCAGCCTTTTGAGATTAGTTTTATGTCGTCTACTTGTTAACCTAAAGAACACAATGATTTGATTTTATCAGGGTCAGCCCTTTTTCTTTGTATGCATATAGGCTAAAGGGTGCTGTCAGGTGTGCGTTTCTGTTGTTTTATTTAAAGTGTTGCAATTTTGTTCTTTTTTAAAACAATTTTAGTGACTTATTGAATGACAGTACTCGGTGCAATATTACTACGCATGTGAAGTATCAAAGGGTTAACCTGGAATAAATTCAAGATCAAAGGAAGGCCCAGAAAAGAACCTTGGCAAGAGATTGGAAGAATTTAATGAGCAAAAATTAACATGTATTAAATCTGACCTCGTGCTTACATGGCAGATGTTGAGTGGAGCAGCAACCAGATACGTTATTAGAGATAAACAGTGGCGTGTTACATTTTGAGTGGAGCATGGGAACTTCAAGCTATCGTACCTTATATTCTGTTTCAAATAGATATTGTGTTTAAAACTGAGCAAAATGGCCATCCTTTAAAATCCTACTTGCTCATGTGTTATGTATTAAATTCCATCGATCCAATTGTGTTATAACAATAATAAAGTTTTCATCGGATTTTTCTTCAATATCATACACAAGATTTTAAAAAGTAAGCAAGCACAGGTAGGGGAATGTATTTAATGGAGGAACGAACCAGGCCATTTGAAGCCATTCCCATGGGGGCTGACTTTCATAACAAGGGTACTGTCTTAGGAGAATTGAACATTGCACTGGATGTATAGCCTTGAGGAGACAGATTTGCTGGCTGTTTTGACAACTCATTACCTGTAATTTCACTGACAGTATGGTGAAGTGACTCTGAGCAGCCAGCTGTGGCACCAGAGACTCTGTGGTTTGTGCCTGGAATGATGTAAGATAGACCAGCAAATAAGAAAAGATTTATTATTCCTAATGATGGCTTAAAACAGAGCGGGGGAGACTTGACAGTTTGGGGCCTCTACGGGGCTAAACTGAAACACATCCTCAGTCCACCTGTCTTTAGTTTTAGAAGCCTGTTTGAAATAGAGATAATGATAAATAATATCTGCTCACTAAATCTCATTAAAATCCCAGATATTTATGACAATGTTGAAATCATTCTTGTGGGATCTAAGCTTAAAACTAATTAACCCAGACTGCCCTGTTGGTCCAATGTGCCTGATGGTGCACTCTCTGGAAATGTATCTTTACTTATATGTAAACACACTGAATGTTCCAATCAGCTCAATTGCTGTTGAAAAGTAACATTTCCCAGCCCTGTAGATATCCCTGTGGGTATGATCTTGGTTAAGTCAGTAGGTCGGGAGAGGGGGAGGGGGGCATCAGTGGGCTCGTCCAGGCACCCCCCCCTGCTCTGACATAATTGGTCCATCCCTGGCACGACTCCTCATCTCCAAAGCCACCAAAAACTGTAACCTACCTTGTGTATTTTTCACTAATTGAAATGCCTAATGAGGTCCCTGGGGCTCCATCCCATTACCTCCGAGTTAATTAAATCCTAAGCAGTGTGCCAAACGGTGAAGAAAGATGCAGTAAAAGTGCAAGAGGAACAGGGAACCCAGGCAGGGTTTGGTGTGCTGGGATGAGGCTGACCTGCTTTTTTGTCATTGTTGTGGGATGCTATATTCCGAGAAGGAGCAGACGTCTATTATTTTTTTATTTGAATTTATTTTGGGCTTCAAATTTTGTTACTCTGGTTCAGGCGCTCATTTTCCAGTGTGGTTAGCCTAATTCTGCTTTATTAATCATTAAACTCCCTACCACCATCAGCAAGGCTTTTATGAAGATGTTCTTTATCGTACTAAAGGAGAACACAAGACTAAAAATGGCAGGTGTGTTATGGACTCTTATTCAATTTGAATGTGGCTGTAAATTATTCTGCTCATTAAATCTACATTTGTAACACCTACAAAAGGCAGTTATCGACTTGTTATGCACTGTGGTCGCTAGTATGAGAATATTAATCTAAACCACATTATCTCGTTAAAGAAACCTTTATGAAATGACAAAAACATGGGCTGACAGAATGCAAAAATACAAAAAGAGACATTTCTTTTAAGAAACAACTTCAAATGTTTATTTAACATGTCGAAGAAAGGGGCACACACTCGTGAATTGAAAAGGGGGCTGCAATTATTGGCCAGTACTATGACTTCAACTTAATACTAACATTAATCAGGTTGTGGCTAAAAAGAAAACGTGTTTTTGTTCCTTTTTGTTTTTATAAAGAAACTTTATGTACATTGGTTCTTTTATACAAGAGGTTCATTGGATAAATGCATCAAAAAAAAACCAGTTCTGCAGTAAACTTTACAAAAAATACATTTTGTTTTCATTCAGAGTTGTAGAAAAGGAGATAGTCAAATATTGACCAATAATATTTCTTCCTTTTCATTATTTAGAAAAAAAGCTGTTCTAATACCTATTTTAAAGAAAAGCAATATACAGCACAATAAATGGGAGAAAATTGCCTTTGCGAATTCATTGAGTTGGTTTGGTAACCAAGGAGAGGGGCTGCGACTGGAACAGGGCATGATGGGAGTGAAGGGCTGCCTGATGGAAAGGGGAAGGGGGGGAAAGCATGGATGGGTGCAGAGAGGTGAAGGGGATTGGCCGGGTGAGGATGGGTGTGGTCGACTGGCTACCTGAAGTACCATGTGGGATTGAGAGGTGGGTATGGGAGGAGGAGGAGGAAGAGGAGGAGGATGAAGAAGAAGAGGATGTGGATCCAGAAGCCTTCTCAGAATGGGAGAAGTGGTGGTGCATGCGTCCCTCCGGTTTGGTGGTGAGCGATAACGGCTGGGCCTGCTCGGAGTGAGTGGCGGCAGGAGCAGCCGGGGAGGCCAAGGCTGCAGAGGGAGTGGCCGGTGAGTCAAGCATGCTGCCATGGGACGACGCAGGGCTGTCGCACATCTTGTCCGAGGGCAGGTACTGCACGCACTGCTTCTTGTTTCTTATCGAGAAGTCTGGCGGAAACAAAAGAAGAAGTGAGGAATCTGAATTATGGATCTGCTGCTGGCTTCAAATCTGGTTCATGTCCCTCAATGCTCCGCTGACAGAAGTGAACAAGTGTTTCTCAAAACAGTGAAGACGATGGCAGTGAAAGTTGTGAAACACAACACACGTTCAAATCAACTTGAAAACACATTGCAACACAGTGAGTGAAACATGATGTTAAACATATTCAGACGGTATGCATTCATGATGCAATAGAAGAACAGGACACACTACACCAACATGTGCACTGTGTGGAAAGCTCTCTTAATTTGGACAAATGACAGAGGTCGTTTGGTTGCACAGCAACAGACATACCTGCCACTATTAGCATTGAACCTCATAAGCTGCTTGTCAAAGTATAAAAGCAGGGAAAACGTTAGTAAGTGTTAGTGGTGAAAAGAATCCATGCAGAAAAGGTAGATATAAATAATAGAATAAAGGTTCAGTGTAGCAGGGTTGCACTTTCCAGTTTGTGAAGAAATAATCTAGATAAAGGTGGTCGGGAAGAAAAGGCCGCTTACCTTCTGGTTTCGAGTCGGGTTTATTGTCCCTCTTCCTCTTTTTCCTCTTTCCCTGCACAGATAAAACAATTCTGTTAAAAACTGTTTTTATAGGGAAAGTAAACTCCTCAATGACACCGACTTATAACAACAAAAGCGTGATTACTGTAATTGACTGATAAAGTAATATTTGATTGAGTCTGGTGGGAAAAAAAAGGGCTTGTTTCTAACTTCCTCTACTTATTAATATAGGAGCTGATCATGGAAATGTGATACTTACATAGTTATCCCTTGCTGACCACCCTGGGTAGAGCTGAGAGTGGAGTTGCCTCTCTTTTCTGGCCAGCTCATAGTATTTGGCTTGTTCCTCTCTTGACAGGGAATGCCACTGTGGACAGAGATGGAAAAGACAGAAGACATCAAAGAATTGCTAAAACACACAGAGTTGTAAACTCACATGCCCTTCTATGCTACTTACCCGTCTTCCAAGGATCTGGTTGATGGCAGCGCTCTCTTTCAGAGTGCACTCTGCCACTACTTTGGCTCTCATCTCCTTCATATACAGCATGAAAGCATTCAGAGGTTTCTTGATATGAGGCCTCTTGTCCTCTTCTTTTTTAGGAGGAACGGGGGATTTCCTGCTAATCCAAAACGTGAAAAAAATATGCTGTTATTAAACGGTGAGGGGTTGAGAGGTGCTGGTGAATTATAGCAAACAAGGGGAAATAGTGTGCGGCAACGAAAGCAGGTTTTGATACAATTAAAGACTTTTTTTTTTTTAACGTTCTTACGCGTGCATTGAGGGGCTCATGTCACTGGGCTCCTGTTTGATAGCCGGGGAGACGATGGCGGGATGGGGAATGCCGGTCTGGTGGAGGCCGTGCGGAGAAGTCACCATGTGAGGGGAGAAACGGCTGGACACCAAGCTGTGAGGGCAACAGGATTCAACATTTTAAGAGTCTGGGTGAACAGCAAACCTCTGTTAACCTGTCGAGAGGAGGTTCAGCTATCTTGAGCACATAACTGCCCTGCCTTAACCTCCAGGTGAAATCCACTGTGCCTACTGCGTCAGTCTAGACTAAATTCATACACACAATGAGTTACATGCTTGCTTTTTTTTGTTGAAATAGAGACTTTTTCAAAAGCCCCTTTATTCAGCAATGGCTGGAGAAAAGTAGAGTGTGTTGTTACCATGGTAACAGCATGGCCGTGACACCTGAAACCACTTTCCTCACCGCGTTCTGACAGCCGTCCGCACAGAACACCTTCACACTGTCTCTCTTTATGTCCAATTGTTAATACAATGGAGCATTGTAATGAACAAGGGGGGGGATTAAGCTCCATATCCCTCTATCGCACACTCGTAGGTTAATGTTAGATTGGAAAATTCCTCTATTTTAACATGTCACACAGGCTGTCATGAGAGACCGAGCACAATATAGCCTTGTACTCGCAGTCCAGAGTCATCAGCTTTACACTCAAGTATGGACCAACCCAGTCTTAATTTAATATACACAGAGACTTTTGTAACTCTTGCACATGTAATATTGGAGTCCAGGTGGAAAATGCTCACACTTCAAAGCTGAATCCTCATTCAATATTTACTCTCTGACTGAATATAAAATCTGACCTAAAGTAATGTATAAAAAAACGTGTGTAAATCCATGAAGTCTAATAATATATATGTTATTAAGAACTGATGTGTGGCGTTATTTAACATTTTTTCTATGTGCCACTTAATAATTCATGCTGTATAAACAAGGAGGTGCCATTTCATCCCCTCGGTAATAAACCTATACCAACTGAATCTGTAAACATCCCACTTAGTCCCTGATGAATATCTCAATGCTGCTCCAAGTGATGGCATGAAAATAATGCTTCCATTAGCGTTCATGCAATGCAGTCATATTTATGTTACCTACAATTTGTTGTTGCCATTAGATCTTTTTCTTACTTTTACTCCTATTTGTTTCATTTTTATTTGCAAAATCACAATTTCAATGTATAAATAACAAATAATGAATGAAATACTGTAAAGACTTCTGTGAGGTGTGTTCTGATTGTTGAGAGTCCGTCTCAGGATGGAACTACACATCCTATTGATCACAGAGACCCTTCTGAATATTTCATCTCATACGAACACCGGAAGGCTCGCTACAAATCTTTCCAATTTTGAAAGAGGGTCAGAGAGTTTAGTCTGATTGGACATGTAGGTTCAGATGAGCTTTGATTTGTCGTTATTGATTCTCAGCCCTTTCATCTCTGCGGTATGTGTGTGTGTGTGTGTGTGTGTTGTGGAGTGACTCAGAACATTGGCTTGACCAGAGCAGTTTAGCTCAGGGAGAAAAGACAGGAGAGGAGTACTGAATGCCAATAATGCCTTCCCTCTATTTAAGAAGCTGAACTTGTCTGTGATAGACTTCAGACCTCATATCCCTTTGCAGTCCTGACACAGCTGCAAGTGTTTTATTCCAAATAAGACTCGTGCTATTTCTGTAAATTGTTGCCAAAAAAGTTGTAGACAATTGGAGTTTAAAGATGCACACCAGCCATTTCTTTCACTACTTGTTTAAAAAGGCTGGCGTAGAGTGCAAGAGAAATGTGATTACAGCATGTCATGGAAGCAGCAGATATTAGATGTCTCCCTTTGGGAGAGTGGGGGTGTTGCCGAACATGATCCGCTCACCTGGACATGGATGCATTCATTGCTAGCGCTGGATAGGGGTGACGGAATCCCCCCGGAGGGATGGAGTACATGGGCTGGCCCTGCCTGAGAGACAGAGGGAGACAGAGTGAGGTGTGAGGTGGATCAAACACAGCTGACAGCTAACCCACCAGCACTAATCCTCTACTCATCAACTCAAATCCCCCGCTTGGGGAACAGCGGCGTTGCAATTGATTACGAGAGCCGTAGCAGAACCCGTAAATGTTCATAAATTCCTCCCGGTGAACTCAAATGTAAAAACATTTGCTATTGTACAGATATGGTGCTCCTGCACTTAGACGACAGAGCATAAAAATCAGACATCACTTTAAACAAACTTGTCGTCCTTGTCATCATTTTCATCTTGAACTTTATCAAACTAATTTGTTGTGCTTTCCTAAATCTGAACTCACAGTTAATTCGCTAGCATCAGTACTTTAACTGTGGCGTGATTTGCGACTAAGAACAAAACACATCTGGCTGAGTGGACAGCTGAGACTAAAAGTGACTTACTGTTGCATGAACCAGCCCAGAGGGTGTGCGATGGAACCAACAGCACCAGGAGACAGCGGGTAGTATGGAGAGAGCTCTGACGGGTGAGGTGTCCGAGGAATACCTGCAGGAGCCACAGACAGAGGAAACATGCTTTTAAAATGCAGCGTGTATATCTGCTGAGGTGACATGCTATTTACATAGATATTTTTAAAACAATATCTAACATCTGCCGTACTTTTGATGCTCCTTGCAAAATCTATCTGCCTTCAGAGTACAGCAGCTGTAGTGAATTCACTTTGGTGTTTCCAATAGTGACCAGTTTTTAAGGTGAAAAAAAGACAAACTGTCCATCGAAACTTGCTCAGTACTTTCCAAACTGAAACCGTTTTTTTCCCCCCAAAATGTTTCTTTACATGCTGGTCCCTTCATGACCCTATCGAGCTCATTAGCGTGCCTTCGTTTGGGCCCATTCAGTGCCGGCATCCTGGTTGCTGTGGATAATCAGATACTTCTTTTCAACTGCGACAAGTGGTAATTATTTGGACTCATCGTAACTGACATGAATTTAAGTTGACTAAAGCCTCTCACAAAGGTGCAATTTTTTTACAGCCACATTTCAGGACTACTGACAGATTTTATGTGGAATATCACTTTATCATCTACAGTGTAGAGTGAAGTGAATCAATGTCCATCTATGACAAATTACCTGTCTTTGGGTCGAGGATCTCCGGGGAAAGGTGTGATGGCGGCGTGCCGGGGGAGAAGTGTTCATTGCTGTAGGTGATGAGGGGTGTCAGTGGGTGGACATGGTGGGCATGCTGCACCACTGGGACTTTATTGGACTGTTTATGGCGGAAAAGAAAGCGAGAGAAGAACAGACACAAAGAAGTTATGAGCAGGAGGTGACAAATGTGTAACGAGTGTCTGACACATAACATTTGAAAGATAGTGAATGTAATCCATCAAAGCTATTATGCCTTTGGCTGAAACGAGCATATAACTATCCCACAGTGGATACCGCACATGATTTCTGTTGCCCATTGTTCAAAAGAAATGCATGCTGTAAACAGTCCATCATGTGTGAATGCCCTCTACGGTAAACATAACATCAGTCTGTGCGTGTGACCGGCCCTGTGATGCAATCTGGACCGGCACCAAGGAACACTAAAAAGCCCTGCAGACCCATGCCAAGACTATTATGGCCATTTAGCTGAGGAGAGAACTGTTTGTTCAGTCCAACAAGAAAAACAACGATGCTACCGAGTCCAAAAGTCACACCAGTGAGCCCCAAACAAACACAATCAGGCTAAGTTTAACTGAATACCAATGAACAAGTGGAGACATCATCTCCCACTCTGTCTCACAGCAGTCACTTGATGGGAAGACGCAGACGCCCATGGGTGGATTACCATGCCACGTTACACTGCAGATGACCCTGATGTAAGAAAACCACTGAAAGTTCTGTATAACTTAAGATAAGTGGTGAAGAACAGGAAGATGGAACTTCCTTTAGCATGCAGCGTGGATCTTTTAGCTATTTTAACAATACTTAACGCACAGAAACTAGCCGAGAACTGACCGGCATTGCGGCTACGACGGGGATAATAAAGACAATAATAATAACCAGCGTCTCTACTTTCATTAGGCAGCGCTCAGCCTCGCAGTCATTTCCCCTGGCTGCCTGGCTGAATAGAGCACTTGTTGGCTCAACTTGTCACATGGGAGGGTCAAGGGGTGGAGGGGGGTGAGGGGGGAGAAAGGAGTCTTGTTCCTCTAGGCTAACCTTTCTTCAATATCCCTCCCCACCCCCTTCTCAACCTCTCGTCTCTCTCCAAAGTGGTCTGCTAGGGAACAAGGTTTGCATTGAGACTTCTGTACACTCTCTTGCTTCACGCTGCTAAGAATTGTTCCAAATCTTTGCTTTTTTTCCGCCACTTTTTTTTTTTTTTTTTTTTTTTTTTAAAGGAAGGTCCAACCTTTTCCTCCTTTTAAATCTTTAGCAAATTGGTTTCTCCCGTGTCTAAAGAAGGCTTTGATTCTGTTAATACCTGTTGCAGTGAGGAAAATATTTACTGTTGTTAAACATGGCTATATTAAGATCCCTTTGCTCAGGACTTTTTTTTAGTTTCTCCAGACTTAAGAGCATATAAGGTCAATGCATATGATGATGCACAGAGAACACAATTCCACACAACACGGAGGAGGCTTTGATGAAGCTTCATGGCAGAAAAAGTGTTGACCTGCTAGGTTGAAATCCCAGGTCCCACATGTCATGTATATTTGAGTTGTGCTTTGTTGTTCTACTTAATGTACAATATGCCTGAATTCTCCATATATTGTGAGGGCTGTTTGAGACCTCTAGACCTGGGTGCCAACACATTTTGGGAAGCACTTCAGTGAGAATTTGAAATGATGCCTATTAATTATTCATATCCTGGAATACACCAATCGTGTGCTCTACACATATTTCTAAGTTTGAAGGCACTAGTTTTAACTCCGGGCTGTCTTTCCGTTCAGCAGCGCCACAGAATGTGGAGAAAAATGGAGTATGCAGGTTGCACATATGCAAAACTATTCTGAACTGTATCCTACCTGCCAGAGCAAATTCCTCTTCTCAAATCAGAACATTTTTGAATGCTATATATCAAAATCTGCATACCTTGTTTTTACTAATTTAAATGTATTAAGTTCTCCAGAGCTCTGAGAGCACAACATGTGGTTTTGTGAAATTGGAAAACTAGACTAATGGCTCGATCATGAATTAAACCAAACACTAACGAATCAATGCCTTCTTTCACTTGCTTTATGTGTAGAGGTAATATTCCTCTAGTCCATGTGAGCTTCATACGTCTGGTTTCATGATCCACAAGCAAAGTGAAATAAGGAAACCACAAGGAACATGAGCCGTGTTTTAAATATAAACAACATCTACGCAATAGGACAGGATAAAGGGCGACCTGGAACCAGATGGTATCTACATCGGCAGACAGAAATCATGCTCTTTACACAGACGTGCTTGTTGTAAACAGGTCTGCAGTGGTGCATACCTCTCAACGAGCAAGTAAAAACACACAGAACCGGTCTTAGAGTGGATTGGACATAGTAACAGGAAGTTTTAAAGGAGGAAAAAAAAACAGCAAAAAGTTGCTGAGCCGGTCCAGAGAAAAGATGTCTGTCTCTTAAGAGGGTTTGAAGCTAAAAGGCCGAGGTGGCAGTACCTCGCATGGCTGTCCAACTTGGAACGGCGCTAAGAAAAGCACAGTCCTTGGTCAGAGTGGGTGGAGGGGTGGATTTCATTCAAGCAAACATGTTTTTGGATCCTGCACATCTGAATTGAATTACTAGGCAAACAGCCGATGGGGAAGAGAGCTTAGAACAAACTGAATAACCCCGCAGCTTTGTGTGCCTTTATGTTCGGTGATTCTGGGTGGGAGGCTCAGAGGCCTTTCAAAACTCCAGGAAAGACAGGGTGAAAAGAATGCCTGGCATGCTGAGAAATCCAAGCCTTGTTTGTCAACGCCAACAGGAAGCGGACGTGAGAGGGGACTGACCGTGTCGTATGTCTCTAAAATCAACCACTTCAAACTATGCCATTCATCACAGACAACGTGTGCTTTGCGTCTGGTGATGGACTCTGAATGGGTCAATGGGAGTAATATTCTAGCTTAAAATAATGCAGCAGAGCGGCGTCATATTACTAGAGTGAATATCCCCAGTGGTAATTAAATAAATTGAGAGAGATCTTAACACAATCAGCGCAGCATATATAGACAAAAACATGGACGGGGAACTAGTGTGGTAATACATATTTGTAAACTGACAGATCAATTCTAAATCCTAAATTCTCTTCGTTTCAGAGTTTGAATGGAATCAAAGCACTGGTTCCTTTTCTCATTTCTGAAGAGGAGCTTGTCTCTGCAGTGGCCCAGCAGGACTGCAGACCTCAGATCAGTATTCAGTTCAATCCTCCCAAAGCCTTTGATTTCATGATGGATCCCGGTTGTTCACTGCCTAATGCAAAATGAGAGAATCTCACCGGACTCCCAGTCAAAGGTCTGTTGGAAGAATATCGATCGAACGCAAGTATATGTCTCTCTATGGGAAAAAAACCACGCAGATTTTTAGTTAATATCTTTACTTAAAGTGCCATATAGCCCTGACAGTTGAAGATTTAACCAGACACATGCAGCAAGACAAAAAGCATCGCTGGAATGCAGCTCTAAACCTTACCCTTTCAATTCACTTTAACAATTCTGTGACTAAGTGACTTATGACACGCTGACAGGACCATGTCCCTCGATGCCTTGATTACTCTAGACGGCGCTAATACAATATTGAAACAAAGAGGGCGATTCTTGTCTCCCTATCAAGTGAAGATCAGCCCATATTTGAGCACTGAGTGCACCGTGATCTGATAACTGAGGGACAGACACCCCTGGTCAGTTACACCTCATTAGAGAGTCGCAGCTCTTTCTAATCCAGAATAACAGTACTCGTCAGTGTAGTCGGTAATGACACAGAGAATAGGCATTATGGAGAAATTACTGCAAGTGACTGAATGACCTCAGAGAGGAAGGTACGCAGCCTTGACATCATTATCAGCAGAGTGTTAATGACTGTGAATCGGTGCGCTGTGGAAGATGAGTACGAGACGCACATGATTCAGACAGCAGCACCACCTCGTCTTCTCCTCTCCTTTCCTCTCCTCTCCTCTCCTCTCCTTCTCTCTGGTCCAGCTCGGCCACTACTGATGGGCTGACATGTTCCCAATACTGCATCACCTGGCCCTGCAGCGCCTTTGATGTATTATTCATGAAGAGGCAGCCCTAAGAACACAGGGGTCTATGTGGGGGTTTTGGGGCGCTGCGCGTATTTGTGTGTGCATGTACATGTGTGTGTGTATGAAAAGCTTGCTCCCATCTTCCCACACCAGCACCACCATTACTACCAAAAGCAATACCAACTGAATACTAAACAAACCTGCCTGTTGAATAATTGAGGATCTCAGGCCAGAGCAGGCTCTGATTAGCATACAGGCCTTATGGACCCAATCTGCACAGTGACAGGATGGTCTTTCCCTGGACTTTGGTATCCACAGAACACTCTCATTTCTACTTAACAACCAATTGCCAGAATTAGAAGAAATATCACCGCAATTTCAGTTTACCAACAAATATAGCATTAACTTCTGTAGGCATATGTGGGAATGATAGAGATGATATCATTCACCAAAAATCGTCTTCAAGCGGAGGCTCGCCAGTGGACGATTCATTAAGAAACTTGACTGAGCAGGTCTGTAACCAATAGACCTTTTCAGTACACTAACATTATTGAATAGTTGACATGCATATAAAAATATAAGATATACATGTGCCTGCAAGCAAATCTTGACAGATATTCCAAACCATGACAGTCCATCATAAAAGCAAAACAATGATGTCAGATTTAACACATACTTGCAGAATGACTGCAGGACTACAGGTCTGCTCCAGGAGTCCCTGCTGGTGTCTCCTCTCCTCGGGTCTCTCTCTTTGGCTCCTCTTGGCCCTGGGCAGTAATCCCTGGCCCCCCATGTGTGCCCATCCGCTCCCCCTGCTCTCATTAGTGCAGTGTTGGGGCCTGGGGAGCCTGCAGGCCTGGGGAGCCAGCCTGCTGCTCCCCTCCCACTCTTCCACTCTCTCCTCGGCTGGAGTAATGAGCACATAATCAGCCTGGCTCCCTGTCAGCAGCAGCACACCAGAGGGGCATGTGGGCTCCTGGCCCAGAGTGGGGGGTAAGGCCACAGCAGGGTGTTTCACTCCCTATCCTCCGTGCCCAGGGTACACCGCACCCGGTATTAGTGTTTCCCACCACTAATCAAATGACCCTCTACTCACAGATCACCGGATCAAGCATGGCGACTTCCTCTTTTTTTAGTTCACATGCTGAAAGCTAATAATACACTTTCAATGAACTTCCCTGCCTTTTATACTGCTTTAAAATGAAAGTGTTGCACGAGTTCTAAGACACCAATGTTATCCCATATTGTTTTTCAGCCAAATTAAGTGTTTCATTTGCAATCTTTGGCCTTGGACTGCACATTTATTAGAGCTGTGCTATTCAATTGCAATAAAAAATAATAAAATGATAAGAAATAGCACACAGTATCGACTCTAATTTTAAAACCAAGATACAAAGAAGCCTCCTTCCATGTTCACAATGATGTAGAACCCGTATAGGTATTTATATGTTCCTATGTGCAGATATGAAAGCATCTAAAATACATTTAATTGCATGCAACAAAAGGATAAATGTTGCGAACTTGAGGAAAGTACATATTTAAGCACACAAAGGGGAAGGCTACTTATTATTCCGATGATGTGAGTAACATTTCTCCCACAAAACAGTTGGATTCCTCACATTCTCAGTCTTCTACAATGTTTCTTTCTGTATCGACTTTTCTGGATTAATGACGTTCAAAGAGATGAAGGCCAAGCAAAAAAAAAAGCCACAGTAGTAGCAGCAACCACTGAAGGACAAAACAGAAACAATCCAAAAGGAGAACTCAGTCAAAGTGCTTTCATTTCCTTCAAATTCAACTGCTATTATCGTACTCACTGGTTGGACTTTTTCTCTTCATTCTGTCTCCCTACATTGTAGATTCACGGATTTTATTAAATTAAAACATTGTCTAAGCTACTCAAAATCCATTTTCTGCAACAAATCTTCACACAGTAGCTGCTGTGTCTCACAGAAAAAATCAACAGGGTCACTGCCAGGTCAGCATATATTCTAATAAATATATATAATTGGTTTCTATTGAGCAAACTCTGTCCCATCACAACAATGTCCCATTGACTGCGCTCAATGAGGACTTTATCATGTGCATCGCTGCGTTTATGGGATCCAACGAATCAACCACAAACTCAGCAAGCACATCTAGCCAGGATAAGTAAGGTCAAGGGGCTGAGTATCAACGGCTGTATTTACTACAGTGTATTGACAGTGGCTTTCTGCTCCATGCATTGCTTAATATGACTCCTCGAACTAAAAAAATGCCCTGATACAATCAAGCAGGTGAGATGCCAGATAGATGCTCATGTTATCTAATGTTTTCAATCTCAAAACACACATCCGTCAGTGAAGCCACAAACCAAACAGGTCTGCTGAGGCCCCGCATTGTCTAACCAGAGTGAGACACCATGATGACTAGTTCACACCTGTGTGGGAAAATTCAAGAATGGCAAGGAGGTTCGAACTTGAGAGATTTATGGAGTTTTTGTGGTGAAAGGCAGATAGACTGTTCAGCAGTTTGCCTGCGGGTGCTATAGGGGTCGTGGGGGAGGCTGTGCATGGATGGATGGGAGCCAGTATATTTACATGGACACTATAACTTTGTTATTGCGAATTACCACATAATGGTGACCGTTTCATTAAAGCATTTTTTTTCCAGTAAACTGATTCCCCCAGTAAGTTAACATGATTTGTTTGATAATTAAGTTAATGTCCCCTAGGATGTAGCCTGGAGGAAACATCTTATTAGTGCCATCAAATAAAGGGAGGGAAAGTGGTTGGACACTGTTGGTGTTCACACAGTTATTTGGTGTGTGAAATTTTGATGTGGAAATTATTATTACATTTATTTCTCCCTCCTCTGATCAGCCATGGTGCTCTTTGGTCAAACACACTTTTTTCTAGCACTCCATAATCAAAATGTAGTTTTCTTTTGAGTGTCTACTTACTAAATGCCCCGGAGTTGGAGAACGGGAGTCTTTTAGTCCTGCAGATCCAGGAACGTCCAAAAGAGGCCATTTCATCTGCAGGTACTGCGGGTGACAGAAAAGGAGCAGAATTATATAACGAAACCAAACATTTGGCAGGGAAAACATACTGTACACAGTAATAAAAACATAAAATACACAAGATGTAACAGAATGCATTCCAAAAAAGACATAACGAAGAGACCAAAAAGTAAAATCGAAGGCTTTATTTTGCAAAAACAAAAAAGAGAGACAAAACTCTCTAATATTTACTGTTACTCAACTGAAGGGACTGAAGCATGCAAAAGTAGTATGAATGGCGTCAAGCCCGCAAAGATCTCCAGCAGACACCTGTACCAGACCCACACCGCTGCTGGAGTCAGACAGTGATTTCTGGCACGGGGTAGAGTGGGGAGAGCGATGTGAACACAACGGACTGGTGGAGGACTGTGAAATTGCCGTTTGTCAAGGAAAAACAAGAGGCCAGCTGTGGGCGCCCGTCGCTGAGCGGGTGGGAAGAGACAGCTGGAAGGAAGCCCTACTTACAGAGCAGCAAAAAGGTTGAGCTGCGGACTCGAAACTAACTCCCGTCTCCATTGGTTTGGCCTTTTGACCCCGAAAATAGTCCTTCCTCCATTTAGTATCACTACTTTTCACACATCAAAGTTATCACAAAGGGTTGTGTAATTGTTTGCAAACAAAGATTCCCATCACCGTATTACCGCTGCCCGCTCCTTCGCCGCTGTGCCACAGAGTTAGAGCTATGTGTACGCGAGGGGAAGTTTTGTGATTTACTGCTTCATACAACAAGCTGAGCTTTTTTTTTTTTTTTTTTTCTTCCTGCAGCAATGGACATAGCATGAAGCCAGAGCTCCAAAAGCACGGCTCAAACATCTGGTTTATAAATCAGTTTAAATACCGGACACAGCAGCTTTTCATGCATGTGGATTTTCTCTCTGCACTGGTACAATTTCAAATTAATTAAAAGGGTTTTATATATTATAGGTTAAATTTGGCTCATCCAGGCTCATGTAGTGCAGAGACATAAAGATATAATAGTACATTTAATAAAATGCATTTTGTGCATGGGAACATATTATGGGTTATAAATTCTGTCTGGAAGTTGCGATTACCCAATCTTCCCATGCAGCCTCTGTTATTATTCTACAATGTATACCGTCATTTTTACTTAAATAGCGTTGCGCTCATGAATTCCTACACGCACAAACAGTTTGGTGTCCACCCATAGCAAACATCTGATGAATGGAGAAGATAATAAATAGCATCTGACATTTTAAAAATGACTGACAAAAGCAGTTAAAGAATATATGCAAAGCTGTGTCTGCTTTTCAAAAGTTGTTGCAGGATAAATGATGACAAACAAGCAAACTGGAGGAGTCACGCATTCAGGTTCTGATTTTTAAAACTTCATTCATCACTCAGGGATTGTAAGGAGGAAGGAAGCTTGGATGGCTGTGGTTTAAAAATGGAAAAGACATTATAGCAGGAGGGGGGAAAAGGGAGAGGAGGGAAAAAAAACATTTTCAGGAATGAGTTTGTCGGAGCAGGCAGAGGGTATTGTTTCCTGACAGCTGGGGTCCAACAGAGACCGAGGCAGGGGGAAGGGGACCATTTTTCCCTTCGAAAAGGGGGGAAATTCTTGGAGTTGACATCAGCCCTCTTCATTTTCACTATACTGCTCAAGGCTGAATCGTAAGTTCCAACTAATGGGCCCAAGTCCATACAACTGTCAGGAGGCAGTTGCTTTTAGAGGCTGCTATTGAAACTTTACTCTGCTGTGTGCATGGCGCCTAATGAATGCTGCTCTCAGGAGAAAAAAATCCAAAACAATGCAGTTTTCTCTGTCTAATCTATGTCAATCATGAGTCCTTCCACAAATGAAACGAGCGCTATTGTGAGCGTTTGGTCTTGCCCTGCCGTGCCCACCCCGGCTCTCCCACCCAATCCATCCCTTATTTGACAGCGTCTGCCAGGACTGAGGAACATGCCCCCAGGCACTTTTTTTTTACTGAGCGCCTACTTTTCTTTTAATTGCCAGCATGCCCTATGGAGCAACTGTTCACACACTCCCTGAAACATCCAGCCAGGTAATGCCAGCCGCACACTGTCACATTAGCTCCCGTCCAGACAACAGCAGCACACCACTCACCAACACATGAGAGGGAGAGAGGGAGAGGGAGAGAGGGGGAGAGAGAGGGAGAGGGAGGGTGTTTGGGTCTATGAGTTGTTTCAGGAAACAAAAGGCGAGGACTTGTGGGCCGTGCTGCTCAGCAAAAACTTTCTCAGTGAAAAAATAGACCACAAGGGAAGTGTAAGAAAAAAAGTAAGGACAGCTGAATGATAGCGAGCGCATAAAATGGATGATTAAAATAGTTGTGACATGTGATATGAAATGGTTGTAAAAGGTCGAGACAGGAGATACATTATTATCAATGTAACTGCAGGACATTTAGTGACGCTTTAGACATGCCCTTATTTTATGAGAAACAAATACAGACATATGGCCGGGTCCATAGCAATGTCTGTTTCAGCATGGGAGCTGGAGGCTCTGGTAAATAAACTCGGACGGACTACTGAAAGAAATGTGTAACTAAAGTGAAGTTTAGCTGATCCATTTTCATAGCTCTCTAATTGTCTTCCAGCCCTCCTTGCTGCCTCCAACACTCAGAATAGACATCAGTAGAATGTGCTACTTTTACAGGACCCAGATGCGACAAAGGTGGCAGTGATGCCACCGAAATTTTCCAAAAAGCAGCACTGGAGCCCTTTGGTTTTTTGAACAGAGAGAATGCAACATATGCTCTGGGGCATGTGGCCTGCCAGAGCTGGGTTCTAATTGTTACATCGCTCTCACAGAGCGAAGGAAAACACAGCCAAGAGTCTTTGTCATCTCTGAAATGTGTGGTGCCATACTGCAGGGCCAACATCAGAGCACGGAGAAGAGACAGATGTCTGGACATTTGCTTTCAAACTAAGTCAGACACTCTGCCAAAGAGACAGAAAAAAAAAAAAATCCTCAACTTTCCTAGCTACTGTCTGTCGACTTCAGATCTGCAAAAACTAAAGTCAAAAATAATATTCATGTTGAATTATATTTACAATTCCATAAAATGTGTAAAACTACAAAAATGATGCACAAACATTTCTTGATTCTGGAAAACAGCAGATATGCATATTAACTATTACCAAATAAAACAAATGATTTGTTATTGCATCTAATGCTGAATTGCGTTAACTCAACAAGTCAAGAACAAACACTCCGGCAAAGTCAAACAACGAATAAAAGAGTCAATATGTATAAAGTGGCAGCTCAGACGCTTGTGAAATGGCTTCGCCTAACTTGTGTTGAATAGTGGAGCAGCAGGAATGCCTCGACGGATCGCTCCAGCAGATAATGTCAATCGCCTACTGTGTGGAGAACCCCTCCCCATTGTTTTCTTTTACCCCCCAACAGTAAACAAATGGGCCGCACAGCTTGCTGTTTGGCTGAGGTGTTAATTACCGTCCCCTGCCCATATGAACAGCAACTTCAGACAATGGCCCTGTCAGGCCCCCTACACAACAGTCCCTCCCTGGTTTGCTCTGCTTATGTCACCTGCTCCTGCAGGGCCATTGACACCTCAACCTGATCTGTGCATGAAACACAATTAAAGCTTCTACAACAAAGACAATGTGATAAGTGGTCCCCGCCTTGTCTCAGAGTTTGCATTAAGGTTCATTGTTTACCAACATTAGAGGCAATTACATTGACAATTCTTAAGCAAACTTCGGCAGTCATTGTGCTAATTAGTGTGTAATTGATGGGGAAACGACAAGCAGCTCAGTTGGTCAGACCCACAATGCACTACTGTGCCGCTCCAAATTTTTCTGAATGGGGACCATGTCCTATTATCCGGTCCACTATGAAGTAAGTAGATTAGTCAGGGAGGAAGTTATTAATTGAATCTTTCTTAAAGGAAGGTACAAAGAAAAAGAAACCAGAAATATGTCTTGGTGAGGGTGTAATTGATGGAGAAATGATAATAATCATAATTTATCATCCAAACATTTCTGATCCTGGCCTTATCTTAGTGGAGATGTGTCTAGGAACCAGTAAATGTAAATGTAAAGTCTCTTTACATTTTATTAGCCCTGAGAAGTCCGTGGTCCTGCAGTGGAGATAGCATACTGCTAATGGCTACAACATTTGAAGTGTCCATTAGCCCATAGAGGAATGAAGTTAAGTGACTATGACAGGGGCACTCCCTCAGTTTGCCGGGCCTCTATTGTGACCCGGTTGGTCGTCCTGCACTCTTATTCACAGCCAGTAAAAAAAACTGGGTCAAAGGTCAGACATCCAGAGTGCTGTGGTTTCTATGGCAACGTGGCCTATTAAGGCCAGGCTCATTGGCCTCTTAACATGCTCTTGTACACAAAAGAACTATTAGTGCAAAGAGGGAGAGAGGAGAGTGAAGAGGGGAGGCAGCGCGAGGGAGGTCCTAACAACACAACGACAAGGTTTTTCCAAGATTTCCAAGATGGTTACACACTCTGCCTGCAGCTCCAAATACGTCTACGTATATGTAGCACACGTGGGCTATCAGTAGCCCCTCAATGAGTACGGCGGGCACTAAGAGGAAATCGTATGTGTCGGCAATCTATTACAAAGTCTGAATACGATTCTTGTTCTGCATGTGTACATTTACTGGAAAATATACTAAATCTTTTAAAAAGTCAATGAGCAAGGGTGTCACATGACACACATGCCTCATGCATATTAAGTACAAGGCCAAGCTGGCCAGCACACTGGGTTTATTTGTAAAGTCCTGGGAGTGAATTTACTGCTGTTTCAGTCATAAAACAGCATTAACACTATACAAGGCCAAGATAATCCCCCCTAAAGAGCTCCTTTAATATTCTGTCCCAGTGAGTCGGCTGCGACTTCAGCAGGAGTTTGCATTTTTGCAACTCAAGCAATTATTTGTATCAGGGGTTGGTTTTTTTCTTTTCTTCTGTATGCATGACATGATCCTGAGTTATTGCTTCCTGTATCCACAACTTTAGAG